GAAGCCAATCGCCGTATGGGTGACACTGCCATCTACCTTTACTACATTGGTTCAGTGGGATGGATTCCCACACTGATCTTCATGTTTTCAATCATGATCTTCATTTTCGGCACCATTTTCCCTACCGTCTGGGTGAAGATGTGGGCAGATTACAATGAAGATCATCCAAACGAGCGCCTCGGTTATTGGTTGGGCATCTATTCAACGTTCGGTGGCTTAGCAATGATCTTCCTGATTGTGAGTTGTTGGCAGCTCATCATCACTATGGTCCCTCGCTCGGGTGTTGCATTTCACAAGAAGCTCTTGGATACAGTGCTTGGGTAAGTGGAGAAAATCACTATCTATCCAATCACACAGACTAACAAAGCCAAGCTCACCAATGTCCTTCTTCTCAACAACCGATTCTGGAGTTACTCTTAACCGCTTCAGCCAGGATCTCATGTTGATCGATATGGAGCTGCCGCTAGCTGCATTGAATACTTTCGCCACATTCGTGCTTTGCGTGGGTCAGATGGCTCTCATCGCTGTATCAGCTCCTTACGCAGCCATCGCTTTCCCCATCGTAGCTATTAGTGTCTACTTCATTCAGAAGTTCTATCTCCGCACGTCACGCCAGCTTCGTTTCCTCGACTTGGAAACCAAGTCTCCCCTATACACTCAATTTAGCGAAATACTAGAGGGGCTTCCGACTATCCGTGCATTTGGCTGGCAAGAGTACGTTGAGAAGAAGGCCAAGATGTTGCTTGATCGTAGCCAGCGGCCCTTCTACCTGCTCTTCGCAATTCAACGTTGGTTAACTCTTGTGCTGGATCTGTTGGTTGCAGCAATAGCTACGATTCTCATTATTCTTGTGGTAACACTGCGAGGAAAGCTCAGCGCAGGATATGTAGGCGTTGCCCTGCTGAATGTCGTGCTTTTCTCTCAAAACATCAAGTTGCTGATCTCGTTCTGGACACAACTTGAAACACACATTGGTAGTGTGGCCAGAGTTAAGACCTTCACCACTGATCCTATTACGGAGAACAAAGAAGGCGAAGACCGTGTTCCTCCACCTCACTGGCCCAGTTCTGGACAGGTCGAGTTCAAGAACATCGAAGCATGCCATCGGTAAGTTCCAAGATCGTCCTCCTCATACCTAAAGCTAACCAGCACAGTCCTGGCGAGCCTGTAATCTCAGACCTCTCCCTTACAATCAAGCCTGGTGAGAAGGTCGCCATTGTTGGCCGAACCGGCAGCGGCAAATCGTCATTGATCCTTTCCCTTTTCCGCATGATTGAGCTCTCTTCCGGCAGCATTACCATTGACTCGCTCCCAATTACGGAGATACCGCGCCAAATTATCCGTAGTCGCCTCATCGGTCTCCCACAAGACGCTTACCTGCTTCCCGGCTCCATCCGACTCAATGCTGATCCTTTGGGCGAGTCCAATGACAAGGCCATTATGGCTGTGATGAAGGACGTTCAGCTCTGGGATATCATTGTGGCCAAGGGAGATGCGGAGAAGTATGCCCATCCACTTGACGTCGAAGTAGACGACCTCCACTTCTCCCATGGCCAGCGCCAGCTGTTCTGCTTGGCGCGCGCCATGTTACGTAAAGACAAGGCGAGCGTCGTCATTATGGATGAAGCCACTAGCAAGTAAGTTTTGCACCTCTTCTTTATCCCTAGTTAGCAAATACTAACAGCTTTGCTCCAGCCTTGACGCAACGACTGATGCTCATGTTCAACGTCTCCTTCGCTCTACTTTCCCTCACCACACGCTCATCTCTGTGGCACACAAGCTTGACACCATACTTGACTTTGACAAGGTCGTCGTCATGAACAAGGGTCAGCTTGTGGAATACGGGCGGCCACATCAGCTACTTGAGCGCCAAGGTAGCTGGTTCAAGAGCTTGTATGAAGAGGTCGGCATGAGAGAGGATGTTGATGATGGCCTTGGTGTAGTATCATAGACAAGGTCTCTTTTTTTCCATCTTTTTCATTTTCTCTTTGTCATCCCCCTTCTTCAAAAATACCAGGGAATTCAAAAATGGGTGTAGCTTACGAGCTTTTTGAACATTGAGATACACTCTCTTTAGTTTTCTTATTTCGTTCACATTGGCAAAATACACATAATGTACCGGACACTCATTTGATTTTTTTATTCTTTCAGTCTGGGTGTTACATGTAGGTAATGATAGCTACGAGGAAAATATTTTCATTTGTCTCTCTCAAGTTGCATGTGGGCTGGTAGGCGGGTATTAAAACAGGTGGAAAAACGGGTGGACATATCCTGATTATTTCATTTTGACGCAAATGACTGGTAATATTTATATAACATACGAGTTAAATGAATGAAGACTTGCAATTACTTTGCGAAGTGTTTGGTGATTGAAAATACATGCCCCTCTCAACTACATTCCCAATGGAGGAGAACTACAGACCCACACCTACACCCACACCCACAACTCGAATGTCGCTTCTGGCAACAAAAAAGTAGATTATAGCCACTTGATGTGCATCCCCAGCGCCTATCTCAACATTTTGACAATTTTTCCTTATTCTTACACTGTAGAGATATATATAAACCTGCCCTTGAAATCATTTGCCAGACCTTCAACCATTGAATTTATAACTTTCCCATCCACTTAGCATTACTATGTAACCCACACAATTCCATCAAAGCAGTCAAGAAATCCATCTAGAGGATCCTTAGCAACGAAACCCATCATTCATTGATCAAGCCTACTAAGAATTCATATACAATCAAGCTTACAACACCACAGTATACTGTTAGCATCACGTTACACCTACGGAAAATATCACGTGACCGACCCTACTTGCTCTATCTTCCACACATGGCGCCAACTCGGCAGTCAGCCCCAAGACACCCGCCCCAGACACCAAGCACCAACGCCACCCCTTTTTTTTCTTGTTTCTTTTGCAACCGTACCCGGCAGCCAGGTTCCTGACACCTTGTGACATCTAGGGGTATCCCGGTCTATAAGTCGGGTGCCGAGCTACTGAGAAGGCGCAGGGCTACACACACCTGCGGCGCAGGGAACGTGGGTCTGAGGGGGTGTGGAGTTTGGACGCTTGCACGTGTGAGGGTGTGGGTGGTGTGTATGTGTGTGTGCCTCGCTTGCAACGCAATTGCGCTAGAAGTGGGCTTTTTTTTTCCTGAAAATACGATACCCACCGACTTTTGGGGGTTTGTTTTACGCACACCGGTGGTCCGTGGAGTATTAGGCGGGCGAGTGGAGCGGAGTGTGGATGGGTGGGGTGGGTTGGGGGTGTTGGGTAATGCGGGTGGAGAAGATTACTGACTAGCTTTGTTCGCGAAAGTGATGAGAGAGGATTACTCGTCATAGACATTAACTTTTTTGCTTTTTCGCTATCTTTTTTTGTCGAGTAAGGTGAAAGGGTTGGGCTGTTAGGTTTGAATCCGCACGGCTTGGTTGAGTAAGTGGATCTTTTTCTTTTCTTTTCTGGGAAAAAAAGGTTGGTACGGAGGGTTTGGCGCGATACGTACCGGTGAGGTTGAAGGCGGTGTGGGCGCACGGTGAGCAAGCCGGCTTCACAGGGCTGCGCGCTTGTTCTTTCGTTTATCACATGTCGCACGAGCTAGAAAAGCAAGATCAGTGCATAGTCATTGTAGAGGTGGGAGGGGAAAAAAGAACGAAGTCATTAGGTCGCGCACGAGACAGGGTGCTAAATTCGGCACGACATGCCCGAGTGCAGAAGCAAAGGAAAACGTGTTGCGTGTTCTAGGCTTTTTTGGTGTTGCAGGTCTTTGCTGCACGATGTGTCGATTGACTCCTGTTGTGTCATGCGAAAGGGCTGCACGGCGCTGATGTATTTTCGTGATACATGTGCATGGCATTGCATACGAATCAAGTGGGTGATGTGCCGGCCCGCGGAGGCGAGGTGCACGGATTGGGGATGTGGTCAGAAGAGGCCTAGCGCTTGTCGCACATGACGACGCACTACTTCGGGTATTACCTTTGGCTGTAAGAGTGTCATGGTTACTGGCGCTGTGTGGGAACGTTTGGTGTATAGAGGCGTCTGCTAAACGATGAATTCGGGTTGTACCCATTCGTATTTCGCATAACGGACAAGCTTAGGATGCGTTACCTATCTTTGCTGGTGTTTCGATCATACCCCTCAAGCTGATCGTCGCTCCGGCTATCGAAAATATGTGCGTTACTAATGGAATCCTGGTGTGATCCCGGAGACGACAAGACGATCATTCGATGTGGGTTCGGGGGGTTTCTCTATGCAAGTCCCAGTCAAGCGAGAATTCAACACGTACTGTGATCACCAGCGCATTAATCGCTGGCACAATTCTGCAATACTGCCTGCGAAATGAATCAAGTAGCTTCCCAACAGCTGCACGATAAGTCACTGTGAATACTCAATCAGCGCCCGCCCGAGATACGCACCCGTCTTCCCCGCCGATATTCCCAGTTTTATCCTCTGACATGGAACTTCCAGTTGATCATTTGTCATAATTGAAGAATAAGGTTCTGAATTGTAAAGAGAGTCCCGAATAAGTCGAAGTCAGCATTTGGCCACTCGGATCTACTGAGAGTTCGTGTGACGATATATCAACGATAAATTAGAGTGGAGAGTAATGAAGACTGATCAATACACGAAATAAAATATCCGAACGCTTTACTTACTCGCGCAGGATTCGCTACTCATAGTCGAAGTTTATTGTACGCTTAATCAAACTTAAACACCTAATTGGAACTTGACAAACTTGGCAACCCCGGCCAACACCTCAAAAACCATAACAGAAAACTATGCACTCATAAAATTAATCCTGCAAAACTACACTACAAGCTATAACCCCCATCCCCATATACACAAGCATCAGGGTGTTACCAGCATCCCTATCCAACATTCAAAACTACTACCCGTATCCAATACAAATCTACAATCATGCTCCGTATCCATCTCATCTAACGCTCCATATCTTCTACTCTTCATAATTCAAGATAAACTTTAAACATCTGTTGATCACAAAAACGCCGGCGTATCTTCCCGCACCAATACCATGCCTCCCCTATGCTTACCCGCACAACCGCCCAGTGCGGTCGTGCTGTTGCGTTGTCGCAGGAAGTTTTCCGCCATGCGGTGGCCTGGAGTGTCGCTTCTCGTAACGTTGGCGTCGAAGAGGCTAGTGGGTTTGGGGGGAGAGGCGGGGGGCGGTGTGATGTGTACGGCAGGAATTCTGACGAAGTTGTTTGGTGATCGCAGGTCGAATGCGCTTTTTGGTCGGCGAGCGAGTTTCTCGGGCGAGATGGGTCGCGCGATGACGCGGATGCGCGGGCGGAGTGGTGGTGAAGTTGGGATTGGTTGCCACTGATTGAGATCGGATCCGGGTGATTTTGTGTTCTGCTGGTCGAGTTTTGGAGGGCTACGATTGAATGTTGTTGGACTTAGCGATTGCTGCATATTTGGTCTAGGTGGAGGGGTGGTCTCTTTTTCGCGACGATATGTCTGCGGTGTCAAGTTCTCCTTTGCCTTTAGCTGTGTGCGTCTTATCTTTAGTGGTGTTATCGAAATTGGTTCAAATGTATCATCTGAACATGGAAAAGGGAAGGTAGATCGAGACGCGAGCCTAGGCGGAAACTTTGAAGACTTTGGAAAATTGAGTGCAGTCATACTGTCAGTCGGCGACTTCGAGCATCTGGAAGCCAAGCTATCACTACTGGAACATCGACCAGTATCGATAACAGTTAGGTGACTATCTTTCGAAAACTGCCTAGGCATCTCAAAATCCGCGGGAGACAATGCATGACTCTCAGACGTTGGAACTGGGTGCGGCTTCGTTACTACAGAGGCTGGTTGAAATAGTGGGTTTTGGTTCACTTGACTGTTTGTGGTGATTCCCATGTCAAAAATGTTCCGGGGATCATCGAAATTTGAAGTTTTGGGCAAACCATCGTAGTCTTGATGATTTGTAGTACCCCCACCAATATCATCGCCCACATTGGCTCGGAGCGATATGTTTGGGTTTTCAAGTTTAAGAGACATGCGATCATTCGTATGTGTATTCGATGTGAATTCGTTCACATCGTTGTTTTGTGTATGAGTAAAGTCCGGAGATTCGTCTTTCGATAATGTGTTATATTGTCCGATGATAGAGAGATCCTCTTGACTACTCAACTCCATGCCCGAAATTTCATGTGACAACCAAGCCTTCCAGTCGCGGCTCGTGTGGGCTGCCGCTTGACGTTGTGGTGATGGAGTTCCTACCACATAGCTTCTCACAGACTGAGACGTAGAAATGACAGCTGAGCCAGCGTTCTGGGACTGCCCTAGTTGGCCGGGCCCGTCAAAAGACATGATGCTGTCGTTCTGATTGATGCTGATACCATCTGTATTTCGAGAATAGATGCTAGGAGACATTGGTGTCATGATGATCTTTGGCTGTGGTGAGGCGATGGCTTTCGGAGTTATTTGTGGCTGTTGAGGACTTTGGTTGACGATAGCGTGGTTACGATCTTCTGCTTTCTCAATATGCTCAGTGCTGGCATCTGGAGTTTTATGAGGTTGGACAACAGCCGTTGTAACATCGTAAGTCTTATCCGTCTCACGTGGAAATTGAAAATTTCCAGCCTCTCCAAGTTGGGCTATCCAGCGGTCTCTGGTTTTCTCCACGCGCCTCTCGATCAGTGAGGCAGATGGGATGAATGTGTTGATACCATGAGGCCATTCCGCGGCATCGTCACGCTCTTGGCTATCTTCGCATTGGGGAATAGTGATCGATTGAAGTGTGACATCATTCTTGCGAATGTGTTCCACGTTTCGTTCAAGATTTTTGTCTTCAGCCCCGGGCAAAGGATTGTTTCCAACAGGTGTCACGGCACGGATGGTCGATCTTATCGCTCTTCCAAGTGATTTGAGTGTGCTAGTTTTGCTCCGGACGCTGTGAGCCAATGTAGATCGTCGAGACTGCGGTCGCCCATCAATATCGATGGTTGGACGAACACTGCAGCTTCCAGAAGAATGCAGGTTCCGTGTCTGAGATTGGTGCTTCGCAGTATTCAATTCAAGTGCATCGCTCTCCGCACCTGATATCTGCCTAGTGGGTATTGACGATTCATGAGACGATTTAGTTGAACCAATCTCTCTCATCAGAGCAGAAAAGACCCGTTTCGGGTCAATGTGAGTTGAATTCTCTTCTGTAAGAGTTTCCATGGGCATGGGCTCGCGAAAGGACGAAAGTGGTGGAAGAGGCAATGATTTCCTCGACGCTATCGAGGAATTGGCGCGTTCTACCTCACTCCCAACGCTGTCCTTGGATTCATGAATGACCGTCATGCGTTTGATGGTACGTTGCATTGGTGTATCGCCAGTTGAAGTTGTTCCCCAGCTCGTCACTCGGGAAGATGGAACCTGCGGAGCATTGACTTCGCTGTGCAGACTATGGGCACTGCGCCCACTGCCAGTACTGTCGCTTCGATTCCCAGATTGGAGGAGATTAGGACGAGCGCTGTCAAGCGAGGAAGTACGACCACGCACGCGCTGTAGTATTGCTTCGTCTGGGCATGGTATGGAGTTTGTATTCCCAGCGCTGGGAGGGCTGAAGTGGGAAACATCAAAGTAGTCGCGGCTGGCTTCGATCTGTTGCACAGGAAGATCATTCCGCTTACCTGACGTCCTTCTGAAAACTTTCCTAATTCTATGCTTTAATGAGCCAGAAAAGGAACGTTTCTCTTTTGGTTCTTGCGGTGGCAGGAAATCACTAAGGGTGTTGTTATTCGTTGGTTCATCTGCTGTGTGCTCCTTCGACCGGGAGAGAGCACGCGTTTCTGATGTGCTCTTCGCACTATCGTTGCTTTTCTCTTGTCTCTTCTTGAAAGGTGCTAGGAATATAGATGGCTTGTGTTTAACCGACTTTTGTTGAAATTCATGTAGGTATTCGTCCCGCGCCTCGTCAAGGGTCACGCCAGGCGCGACAGTGACGGGTATGCGCGGCTCTGCTAGGGGTGAACTCCGGAGCGCTCGTGCTTGTGGACGCGAAGACGGAGGCTCTGAAACCGAAGTTTCATTGGCCGATGCGGGTGTGTTCAAGTACTCCGCTGGTGGCCTTCCTATTGGCGATCCTGTCTGGACAATGCTTGCATAGTACATGGAGCGTGCCTTTCGGATCTGTTGCGAGGTCATCGAGGACGCAGTGCTTGGGCGAAACGTTTTCTGTTGAGAGCTAGGTCTGGCTTTCTCACTAGAAGTCCTTGAAGGCTGCGCTGGGAACTGTCGTGGTACCGACGCTGATCCGCCGATAGTTGGTGTTGAATACAAAATTGGAGGTTGTCCCTTGGCCTGCTCTGCAGTTGATATCAACGTTTGTGACTGGAGCCGACTGCCTCTACTCTGTTCGACTTTTGGTGCTTGCATCGATCGAAAGCTGGAACCACGAGGGGGAAAATGGTTGCCTTGGGATGTGAAAGATTTGCGGCTGGCGTTGCTCTTGGATCTCACTAGATTAGAGCTCGGTCTGGTGGTACGTCCGGTCACATCTTGGGCATGTGCCCGTACATATGCTGCTGTAGCAGCTGCTACTGCCTGCTGCCTGACGGCCTCCATATCTGTGGGCTCAACCGTGGAGTTGGGACGCTTATGGACGGTCGAGGCGGACTTGGAGCGGCGGAGACGAGCTTCAATGTCGCTGCTGGCACGGGAAAGCATTGTGATGACGAATTAAATCTATCGATCGCTGGGTGAGGGAGGTAAGAGACTGATCCGACCTATTGAAGCAGTGCTAAGGACGTGTTGTCAACATGCAGTGTAATGAGCGGTAGTGAAGTACCGTTGGTGTATGTGGTTTGGGATGCTGAGGTCAATGACACGATGAGATGGAGGTGCGTTGGACCATGTCTGGTTGTTACTACCCCGTGCTTGCTATTTTGTATCGTTTTAGACAGTAGGGAACATGTAGTGCAAACAGAAAGCATCCCCTCTTCAGAGACATGGTCGCACCTACGCTTTCAAAGTTGGTCACTCCCAGAAAGATTTTCACAGCACCACGATAAAGAATACAAGACAAAGCGAAACTTGAAATCAATTGTAAATTCAAACATCTCTCACGTCGACTCTCTTCGCTCAGTTGCGCCCTCGCGCATTGACAAGGCGCCCCTCCCCTCGTCATGGAAAATATCCTCATCCTCGCCATTTAGCTCCACATAAGCGGACTTCTTGTCCACTACATTAATGGAGAAAGTCACAAATGTCATGAAGAGGAAGATGACCGCAGAACCTAAAAAGGGCAGTCCCAGCCATGCTTCGCCGAACCCTATGCCTAACTGAAACAGTTCATTGAGCAAGGGTCCACCAATCATAGAGCCGAAGCTCTCGGCCATGGCAATTGTACTCATGAGCTTACCTATGTCAGGGCTTGACTGCCCGCCGACAATATGTATAGAGATGGACCGCATAGCAGCATTGTAGCCCGAGCCCATGTTGTATACAAGAAGACCAAAGACTAGCAGAGCAGGATACGCAGAGACACCCATGGCGAAGAAGGAAAACGTAGTGAGGACGATGGATCCACATGCAATCCAAATGTCAGCGCGGGGTGCTGGGAAATGCAACTTCTTCAACAGCACAAAGTTGATGAGTGGAAGGACAACACTAATGGCAACAAGATTAGCAGCTGCTCGGAATGATAGCAGATATGCTGCCTTCTTGATCTCCCAACTGTAGCGTTTGGAAGCATAGCGCACCAAGAGCGCAACAGACTGTCTGCCCAGCCTGTTTGCAAGAAAGGTAAAGACAACCGTGGCGAGAGTCCAGTCGCCGCTTAGAAATTGGACTGTACTCCGGAAGTTACGCAATTGCGAGCGAACCGAGAAATGACTTGACATTGGCTGCAACTCAATGGATTGCGTCTCGACATTTTTCGGTTCCTCAAGGTTGCGCAAATGCAGGGTCTCTGGGATAAAGAGCGATACGATGAGGCCAACAAACTGAAACGCCAGAGCGAGTGAAAGCGGCAGCCAGTCTCCGTATTCCATCAGCCGCGAGGCCATCATGGGCGCCACCATTTCTGCAACCAGAATGCATGCGGTCAAGTATAAGAAAATGGTTGTACGTTTTTCCGGCGGCGCGATATCGGAAATCATGGTGAGCCCGATAGCCATGGCGACAAATGCACCACCACCAATGACCAGGAAGGCGCTCGAGAACCACGTTAGCTGCAGTGGCAGAGTCTTGAGATAACCTGTACACCCGTCAACACAAGTTCCGACCTCCTTTTCTAACGCATGCACTTACATATCAGCAGAGTCCATGCACAACTTAACACAATGCCGACCAGACTCGCGGCAAAGATCCATTTTCTGCCTATCCGATCAGCTAGTGTTCCAAAGGGAACTGCCAACAAAAGACCAGGGAGCGCGTTGAACATCTCCTGCCATCCGAAGATGCTAGCCAGTCGCTGCTGCACTATATCCACCTTGCACAGCTCCTCGGGTATTGTCCCATCCCCTCCTATTACGGAGGGGTCTTGCTCGAGATAGTATTTGTAGCAAAGGTTCGCTTCGAAGATACGCGTCATGGGCGGGTCGGCAAGGTATGCGCCTATGTCGATGAAGGCGACGAGGACGAAGATAAGGCCTACAAGGAGGAGCCATGGCTTGTCTCCTGTGGTGGGCTGTAGCGCGTCTGGGGCGTCAATGGGCGGTAGGAAGGCCTCTTCTTCCTCGCTTGAGTCTCTTGGTGATGCTGGTTTTACGGCCATCTCGAGGGCTTATCCGCGTCCGAGGATGGGCGGTGGCTGGCGGGAAACGTAAGACGGAAGCATGCGCTTAGGACAGTTTACGCGTAGATGGTTACAAAAGGCAATGCCAGCATTACTATGAGATTTCTGATTTCGTGTGTTAGCAGGAAAAGTAAGGCTGAGCCATCGCAAGGAGATCTGCGCAAAGGGCAGGCTGTGTCAGATCCGAGGTGTTGATGTCGGGGCTATGAAACTGCCTGGTAATTGGCGGTTCTCGGCGCGCCTCCCTCGAACGCCAGGTGTCGCGACAACATAGCCATGATTACGCTAGCGCTAGAGAGGATTCAGTACTTTCTATCGCTCAGCCTTCGTTTTCTAGATGAACGAGATGAACGATCCGAGACGATCTTGATGGATCTGCGAATCAGGAAGTGCAGCTACTTACGTAAGAGCGATATGAGACCTTGCATAAGTAGTACATTGACGATCGCTTCTCAAAGACGATGCAATTGTCCGACACCCATGCACCTAGCGAGCAGATACATGATTAGCAAGCTATCTACGCCTTTACGCAGGGATTGCATATCCTATTTCCTTGCGTTGCAAGTCTCAAGACCGAAGTATCATGAGGCAAACGTTGTTGGCTCTTTCTTCAAATACTCAGGTAACCACGGGTCATTTCAACAGCTAGTATTCCCGTACCGGGCCAAAGAACCATTTTATACACATGCGGGCGCAGTGAATTAACAATTAAGACATTAGGCAATTATCTGATTACTAACTATGATCCGATGTGTAAATACCGCTGACTATTACAACGATCAAGCAAGGTTTCAAACCGAATCCGGTTTTACATCCTACCATCGATATTGGACATTTATTCCGAAAATATGAAAGTAGAGCTTGAAATATCCGAAAGTGGTAGTAAAATTGTAATTACTAAGATACCTCAAACAGTCACCGATGTAAATGAACGAATCGCTTCTTTTCAAACATCAAATAAGGACGTGAAAGTACGTGCATATCTGGGGCTTGCAAAATATAAATGTCTATTGTATCACCAATCTGAATACATTCAATCCAATCTAGTCAATCACATAGCCAGTACTGTAGTAACAAGGTAGTATCATTACGAGTTACCCTATCCCATCAACCCATCCATCCGTATTTTCTATCCTCTTCACTTCACCCCTCTTCACCCTTCACAACCTCCTAGGCCCAACAATATCAAACCCATTTCCTATCTTTCACACATCAGTATCCCTTCAAACCATTCAAAGAAAAACTTAAAACTTACACATCGTGTCTACTTCATCGCGGAGCGTTGACGCAAACTTGATACGCATTCGGACTACTCTGGTAGCAGAAGCCTGGGTTGGAACCAGCTTGTCGTATCGCGTAGTCCCCAGTGTTCCTGCAAGCAGCTAAGGTCGGGTAGGTTTCGCCTTGGCAGTTTATCGAGATGGCTTGGGCTTGAATAGGGGATGCGAGAGCGAGGAGGGAGAGGAGAGAGAGGGAGAGGGTGCTGGGCTGCATTTTTGGGTTTGGTTGGTTGTATCGAAGATGCTTTTGGAAGAGATGGCAGGTGATTCAAACTGCAGTGGTGATAGAGGATAATGGGTGGCTATTGGCGAAAGGATTGGAATTATATATTCCTCCGACCGATCTGATAATCATTGCTAATACGATGTACTGCACATCCGTTGCCGGTGTCGGAAATTAGCTCCTCCAAATGCCAATCCCATTTTTTCGAGACATTTTACTAACACGAGGATGATCCTATCTACTTTTTCGTCTAGCGATTTGACAACGTTACTTATCATAACTCTAGACGTGGATGCATTAATGCATCGCCGAGCTATTAGCTTCTAGCGCATGATCGTAACCGACTTAGTAAATTAGACAGGATAAGTTAATGAACCATAGACAGCACTAAGGAGTGGTGTAGTCTTGGCTACACATCGCTACTTTCTTCTACTGCTGTCACTGCTAATAGACTACTAATCTAGCTATCTTATCTCTGCAACGTTCTAGCCACCCACTACTCACTGTTATATCTGCTAGCCACTGACTAGTGTGACTGCAAGGTACTACCTGCTATACCTATCGACTTGCCCACTGCACCAACCACTTTACCTTCTATTTCTACCGAAAAAACATGCGAGCGCACATTACACAATCAGAACCTAGCTAAGATTGCTAGGAGAGAGAAAAAAATAGAACATCGAGAACGTAAGCATACCCCTTACACTTAACGACAATTGTTTTTTAAATTGGAAAATCCCATCGCATTTCCCCTAGCACACATAGCGAACAACCCACTTGTACAGACAACCTCACATAGCGCATACTGTATCCAGCCCATCTCTACTTTCTATACATCAGTCTGAATCTTGGAATTTCCCCAAAAGAAGCTACAGATACCAACGCTGTTATCAATTTACTTCAAAACGTCCGTGTCACCAAGCGCATAGCTGCGTTTGTTTAGCGCTTCTATACTAAAATAGATTCTGCCTAGTCGCTACCCTAACTTACATCTTCGCGCTTGTTTCAGTCAAATCAGTGACGAAAAAAGCAGAGGAAGAGAGAGAGGGAGAGGGAGAGAGCGAGCAAAGCTACAACTGAAAAGTTCACCAGGCATCGATAACTACTATCTATCACTGTATCAATGCTCTTTCATCGGCAAAATAAAAAACCCCCAATTTAGCTGTATAAGTTCGACTGCCAACTAAATCTATGATATGGAAAACTCAACCACCATGCCGACGTCTGCAGGAACCTTGCGATCACACAGTGCACTCCACGCTCCCTCAATGCCGTCTTCCCCACTGACGGCATTCAAGGCCTTCACCTGCAGACTGGCAAAAGCCTCTTCTTTCAAACACCTATCCCACGTGCCCTCTAGCTCCCGGGAGAATTCCAACGCGCCCTGAGATTCGATGACGCGATCTCGCAGCCCACTCGTATTGACCAAGACCTTGGTATTGGCAGTCGCCATCCTGGCTGCAATCTCCTCTTTTGTGTATACTTTGGCTTCGTAGCCAACAGCAACAACAGTGATGTTTGGAGCCAGCTTTGATGCTGTAGCCCTGACCGACTCTAGGATTGCGTCGGATGCGCCGAAGTCGACAATGACCACCCGTGAGGGCTTGAATTGCTCGGCCCACGCCATGGCGTCCGTGCCATCGTATGGAGATGCTTTCATGGGCAGGGGCGAGTCATATCGGGGCAATGTGTTGGGGATTGATGTCATCTGGATCAAGGCACGAGGACCGTGTTTGGACACATCTCGATTCCTTGACATTTCCCAGCCAAAGCCTCGGCCAGTCTTGCTTGAGGCGGAGAGACTGACGACCACAGCCGACGACAGGTCGGCATCCTCTTGGGACCATGGCGCACCGAAACCAAAAGGGTGGATACGTCGTGCCGAGAACACGCTGGTGTTGAGCAGATGTGGACCCTGCCAGAGGGGTTTGCAGAGCGCGGTCATGCGCATGGTCTGCGCATTGCTTTCACTAACTTGCTCGTATGTATTGTATATAGTCATGAGCTTACTTCGCTGTGTGCTGCGCTCTGACCAATGGCCCGATGGCTCGATTGCTTCGAGTTGGAGGTCGACGGCGTGCTCTGAAGTAGGCCACATGCCCCACAGCAGCGACCCTGGCGCTATGGCGTCGATTGTGCTCTCGAGGACGCGGCCGTAGCCCCAAGCTGGCACGATGCCCCATTCTTCCCGATTGTTGAAGGGCGTTGGACTCGCTTCAGGGACGGGATAAGTATCCCACCAGCGCAGAGGGGTTCCCGATCGGGCATAGGTCAAGTTGTTCGAGGTAAGGGAAACAAGCCATGTCTGGACACGGACTGAAGATGCCGCTAGGCTTGGAGGGTCCTGATCGATGTGGAAAACAGCATGTTTGGTATTATCCAGCTTGGACACAACATGTATGGATTTTGCCATGTTGCGACAGCGAACCATAGGCTTTGGCACGGGTAGTGCCAAGAGCGCGGACAAATGTGGCCTTTTTACGGCTGCGCATAGGGATGCGGACAGCTTCTTATATTGAGCGGTAGTGGGGTTAAGGCGTGACCCCACTCGTTCTACAGAAACAAAAATATCCAAACATAAGAGGTGGACAGAGACGCTAAGGCCGGATGAGGTGAGAGTGTGCATCCAGCGGACTTTGGTCGGCCGCACATGTCCGCGGCTCTAAGCCTGCCGATTGGCTGACTCTGCGGAAGGTCTGGTCCTCATTGGGTGATGCTCGTGGCATCCTATGTAAAATCAGACGACGAACATGTTTGTCATGATGGCACCGTTTAAGAGGAGTGCGAAAGCTGCAACGCTACTGTGAGTAGAAAAGGCCCGAGAGAAAATAAACATTGCAACTTTTCCCCTCCAGTTGATCTCCATCGAAAAACGAATTTGGAGTATTCCGCCGCAACGCTTCAAGACGCGGACATCTTTGTGGAAGCGGTATTGTATAATACTCCGAGCATTTCCATCTTGGCAAACAAATCGCGCACATATCATGACATAAAGAGCGATGGAAATTCTAGACACAACCTTAGATGGCCATCGAATTCGATGAAAATCTCAACCAGAGAAGCCCAATTGGTTTCTTTTAGGTGTAGCACGTTTCGATTTAGATTTCAATACACGTCTGATCCATGGCTAGCCCGATTCCGCCCAGAGCAAATCCATGCATTAGGAACAATTGAGCTCTTAACATGGATGGCGAAACACATGTTCGAAGGAGAAATCAGGGTGGCGAACAAGGTAAAGGACTGTTTACCTATACATAGATTACGAGGTCTGAGCAAAGTGCGTATCGACGTTTGGATGAACGGCGGTTACTGAAACTATGTGAGATAGGGGTTTTAGAATTGCGAAGGATCTGATTGCGATATGACGAAAGAAATGCAGAAGCTGATGGTGTGGTTGTGGGTGAAGGAAAATTGAAAATGCCCATGGGCGGAACTTCTTTTCCGGCATTAGTAAAGGGTCCTTGATGCCGGCCCTACGTAGCTCCCACCAAACACTACTTTCAATGATCAGGAACAAAGTTTGAGCCTTCCTGTCCAAGAGGCTTCTATAGATACTTTAAAATACGAATTAGGTTCAGCATGTAGCGTCACCAGTATATTGGTCGCACGAGTGCGCGTACTGTTCGCATGGGTCTTTTGTCGACTGTCCGACGACATGAGCGACCCTCAGAACCAAAGCCGCAATGGCAGTTAACTACGACTTACGTACGGTTACGGTTTACCCTCACGCCAGTTATTTCGCTTTTGTGTGGTCATTGGCAGATTTTACAGATGTGAGCCTTGCCGAGATCGTAAAGTCAAGTGCAACAAAGTATTTCCTAATTGTGGGCGTTGCACACGCCTGGGCTTCAGGTGCTCTATCGCGACCTCATCAACCAACGCACGACTCAGTCGTCCATTATAGCACAATTTCAAGAGCGCGTCAGAAAACAGGAAGTTTTGCTTGCGTTACAGTTAGTTGCAAACAAACTACCTTCATTCATCTCCATGGCAACCCAAGAGCCTTCTCCGTCTATCATGTTGCTGTCCTCACACCCTGACCCGTCGTCACCCAGCGCACGTGGAAGGGCAGCGGGCCAACAGTGGTGGTGGCTCAGCCATGACCGAATACAACGCCGCTTAATTCACGGGGACAATGCCTGATTATACACTGTGTTCAATACTAACAACACTACACTATAATATAGAATTCATGTACATGCGCCCCAATGGCGCCCACATTGCCGACGATTAGTTAGCATCCACAGCATCGGTTCAGCCTACCCTTTCAGCTCCTCCAGCCATCATTGCTGCTAAAGATATCATCGAGCTTCATGTGATCTTTTTGGTCCGTGTTTACCTCGTCATGCCAATTATCAACGAGGGCCAGTTTGGCAAAGATTTGCAAAACTCGCCTCATGCTATAGCTGTGCAAAGCGTGAGCTGTACAACCGCCCTCCTAGCACCCACGATACCAGACGCCCAGAAATCGCTCAAGTAATCCTGGTATGTTCTTTTAAGATACTATGTTGGTCAACGTGAAGCCAAACAGGGCTTCCCTCCCAGTTTGTGCATGCATTTCCTTCGCGCTCTTTTGATACTCGCCCGCTTTGAGATCAAAAACCGAATCTGTGCCCGTTCGTGGCCCAATTTGGGAAGTGCTGCCCACCTTGAGAAGGTTATACGATTGGGCCAGATAGATTACGTGAATGAGCCGCTTTTCCCCAGTGTGAGTTTGCCCGAGATAGCGTGCCTTACGGTAAAGACTACTGTCGAGCTCGAGGAGCGACGACGGTGTCTATGGGCTCTGTATATTCTCGAAGGCCTTGCCTGCCCCTATACAGGAACATCAGGAATGCTTGATGAATTGAGGGTATGTAGCACCAACGTATCATGTACCTTTTTAATTACACTACTGGTACATTTACGAGAGAGAGAGTGGCTCAATCAGTCTTAACTACCTTCGAGACTTTGAGCAAAGAAAAATGGCGATGTCAGAAGCCGGATGCGTTCCACGATAACCCGAAGATGGATGCCGATGATAATAGTAATGGCTATGCGGTATGGTTGATGACTAAGCGAGACACGTACTATTCCCAAGTCCGAGATACTCTCACGTTTCTGCGGACTAGTGATAGTTGCCTGGGTCTTATGCAAAGGTGCGGCAAAGATGCTGGCTGGAAGTCGCTGTCCAGCTCACCTAGAGACGGCAGCGATACCTGGAGCTAGAACGCGAACGCTGAATTCGTGTGCCGTTGCCTTCAATCTCTATCTAGTCTTTCACGTTTTGAAGACCAATGTATACAGGGCCGCAATTGACGAGAGTGAACGGCGAGAATTACCACTCACTGAGGTAGACATGAACATGGGTCAGCTTACTTCTAATATGCTTATAATCGCCACTGCAGTACGGTCAAATTGTTGTCAACAGCGACCTATGGTGAGTTTGATTTTTCTTTCTCAAAGATGCTTATTTTCCGCCGAAACGGGGCACAAGCTAATTTGCTTGCTGATCGCTTTGTAGTGTGATAATTTGTCTGTCAGTGGGGCATTCATTGACGGGCCGCTTTACACCGCCATCAAGACTCTCGGTCGCGGCACATCCCTTGCCCAGTTATATTCAAGGACAAGTATCATTCAAATCTTGTACGATTCATTGAACGTGGGGAGCGATCGGATGGAACGTGGCATAAGCTTCTACTACAATTGTATCCCTCCCTATAACTATTTTCATTGTTTTGAATTCCCTCTAGATTCTTGGATATCCGACAAAGATGATGAATCAGGAATAGACAGGGGTAATCTAGGAAGACAGCATCTAAGGATCCCAGGGATGGATATCAGTTAACAACCAAACGACTAGTATTCGTTGCTAGCACTGTCATCTACCACGTGCTCTTTGTCTCACTCATCGTATGCTTTGTAGCTATCATTCCTTTATAGCTCCAACTATATTTTTTTCACTCCTTCCAATTTTCGCTTTGAACTAGGCCGTGATATGGCAGTTCAGTAAGATTATTCGTTACGTAGTTCACAGGACTATCGGCCAATGGGAGACTATAAGAATTTACCTAATACGGAAAGTCGTAATGAAACTCGTACAACTATCTCACTAAAAGCTTCGAAAACCGAATTGAATGACTCTCACTTCAATGGCTACGTAGCAAAAACGAGATCAGGTGACATTTTTTGTCGTCTGTTTGACTTGCCTCCTCTTACCTAATTTTTTCTTATACGAAACCCCTCAAACTACCATCAGTCGAAGTATTTCAACACTGCATTTATCAAGACACAACCCTTCCAGTCTTTAAGCACACAAAGAGAACCAAAAATGAAGCTCGCGTTTCTCACCACCCTCGCTTCCCTTGCTTCCCTCGCCATCGCGGATGATCAAGTTTGGACGGTACATCACTATTTAGGTTGGCACACAAGAACAGTACACACTACTGACAAAAATGCAGGGCTGAATTGTTCGAGGTAGCTGGAGGCCCGTGTGCAATTACATAAATAGCTTCTGGGACTGTCCTGTAACTGATCGGACACTGGTATCTAGCTTATCCATAGTAAATGTGCAATCGCTAACATTTTGGACATATAGAAGGATCCAACGCTCAGAATAGGGACATCGTGCAAGGCGAGGAACGGAGAATCTTCATGCTGATAGTCGTCAACGCCGAAGGGACATGTGAATGAGTTGGGGCGTACATGTTTGGATTTGGTAGAAGATAAATGATTCGATGGAACCTGATTCAGCCGGGTTTTACTTTGAATTTTCAAACATCATACAATAAGAAGAGTAGCATTCGTTATGGCAATGATGGGTGATCTACTGATGGGGTACAGCGCCTTTGCGGATATCCTGTACGTAGCCCAGCTGCTCAGCAGCTCCACCAGATCCATCATCATGCTACTACTTTTTTGACTGCCTTTCAAATTCCCCGCATGTCTTGGTTCATTCAATGTGTAATGGCATTGTCCAATATCTAATGAAACGTATCATCGCTCCAAAACGCCATCTATCTTAAGCGGCTATTTGCAAGGTGTAAAAATACGTCATAGAACTTGCGCGATATGAATAATCATCGAAAGAGTGCATCAGCTGAAAACGTGATAAAGATAGATACTGTATTTACTAATCATACAAAATCTTCGGAAGGCAGCTACCGATCGCCACCATACGTCCGGCCCCACCTTTGCGTTTGTGGAATATAAAACGCCACAATGGTATCTGCAACCAACCAGAGAGATGGCCACACAAGGCTTCAAGTGGAGGCTATGTACATGCTGACCACCCCCTTTCTCACTCAGCCTCGAAGGAATTGCTGCTATGATTTCTTTTACTGGCCGGATGCTACAATCGCTACAGTCTGGATTGAGTGTCTTCGCAGCCTTGCATGAAAGGATTCGAGGAAACATATGGCAGACTTTTGTCCAGGCGATTTCCTTCTCAAACTCGCTTCAATAGTATATCCCATCATCATATTGACTTTGTTTGAAGGAAAATGAATTTGGCAGAGATGCCACGCGACGGAAATCGCTTCGACCTAGATGATTCGCAGGAAGAATCACGGAAATCGCTCCTTTCACGTCCTCATCAGCAAGAAGATGCAGCAGAAAAGGCAGATGGTCAAAGATTTGGTCGCATCGATCATCTCAGCAAATGGTTGCCAATGATCGATCCAGTTACTGACAAACGCTGGTCTACCCGTTTCACGGACCGAGACGTCGGCTTGCTTCTCATTTTAGGTCTTTCTATCATCACCCTGGCAGTCAATCTTGCCATAACAGTTTGGGTGGCTGCGAAGCATGGTGTCAAGGACAACATCAGCGACATTCTTGGGGCCGATACCGGATATGACTGCGCAAGCGTCAAAAATTGGAACAGATGGCTTCATTTTGGCATCAACGTTCTTCCAACGTTATTACTAAGTGCCAGTAATTATTGCGCTCAGCTTCTAGTCGCTCCTACGAGAAAAAAACTTGATGATGCACATCAGAAACAGAGATGGTTCGATATCGGTATTCAGAGTTTTAGAAACTTGAGGAAAGCTCCGTTGCAACATAAGTTACTATGGTTCTCGTTAATGCTAAGCTCGGGGCTGCTGCACTTGTTGTAAGTTCGTTGTCCAACAGCACTTCTCCAGATCATGCTGATTAACAAGAGTCTAGTTGGAACTCAGCAGTCTTTTCTACGACTCCGTTTAATACGTACTCGACAGGCTACGTGACTGCAGACTACTTGAACGATCCACAACCTTGGCTCTTCCCCGAAAATCCTGATCTCGACTACATACGACAGAATGCATTGAACCTTCCGAAACTGAACAACAAGGAATGCATAGCTAGGTATGCTGGGAGGTTGGCTGGTCTCAGTAGCTTATTGCTGGTCAGTGCCAATGTGACCATGGACCATCAACTATCATACGAACAGAGCAACAACCGCTCATCTCTCTTATTCAACGCAACCACGGTTTCATCGGCAATCTTCTGGCGTATGAATAGTGACTGGATGTGCAATAAGTGGAATGTTCCCAACCGTGTCAGCTGTACACAAAAGACTATGAGGTCTCCTTATGAAGATACCTGGACATTAGTGAGATTTCAGTTCGACGCCAACATAACACACGACCCAAGTGATGACATATGGACCAAAGTGGACCATTGCCTCCCCCGAGACGAGCTGCGCAACATGGACGACAAATGTACATTACGTGTCAGCAAAGTGATTCTGAGCATAGTCACCTTTCTGAATATGATAAAATGCGGTTGTATCATGCTCACCATACATCTTCACAATCGGATTAGCGACAACCATCGATACCTACCAGGTTCAGCCAAAAAGCGAGGTTTCATCACTCAGACCTTTGCACGAGCGTTTCAAGTTATCTTCAAACCAAAAACATTGTCGGCGGGTGACAAATCCCTCTATATCGTTACGTTAGGCGATGCAATAGCCAGCTTCCTTCAGCATGGTGACAACGAAACGAAAACATGCGGCCTCGCGGGTAGCAGAGACTTTGATAGGAGATGGCCTTCGCATGTTTCAGGGTCTCAGCTTCCTTCGATCCGCTGGCTTCATGCAGCAAGTTGGAAGCGTTGGTTACTGACAATGTCGTCGTAAGATCTACCCTAGTTCATCGTTAACGGTCATATCGATAACACTTCCAGATGCGTGATTACAATCGGTACCGTCAGCTTCCTGCTTTATATGACCATAGCCGCTCAACAAAAGCAAGGTGTAGACACTGACATAGCCTCACTTGCAAGCTACGGCCTAGGAATACCACAACAGTTTGCTACAGCACTTACAGGCGTCACCGATGCGCTTGGTCCGACCAAAGGCTTCTTCTTCTCAGTGCTCTTCGCGAATATGTTCCAAGCTATCGTCAGCGCGCTCTACCTTCTCTGCAACAATTTGCTGACTGTTATGGTTGTTGCGGCAGAATGGAACGCCTACAGCTTTCGGCGTAAGGCACTCAGAGTTTCGGCCCCAAAGGGGATTCAGCGCTCTTCCTTCTTCCTCTCACTTCCCTACAGATACTCTGTCACTCTCATGGTACTATCTGGTCTGTTGCACTTCTTCATATCGCAAAGCGTGTTCGTAGTACAGACAGTCGCATACCTGCCCAGGTACGATCCACAGCGATTTATCCGAGCCCCGGTTTTGGATGTTTCCTGTATCGGCTTTTCCAGTTTGGGCATTATTCTAGCGCTAACAACTGGACTTGTGCTTGTTGTGTACCTTGTTTTTGTTGGCTTCACGTTCAAGTACGAGATGCCAATTACAGACAAGGCACAGGGGGCTGCTGCTGAGCTGTTTCGCATGCCGTTAGTCAGCACGTGCAGCGCTGCAATCAGTGCAAACTGCCACGCTCATCCAGCTGATACAGATTGCAGTTTCCTCCCTGTTCAATGGGGGTATGTGACCGACGGGACTGACGCGAATGGAGGACGATATACTTTGACGACTGATGTGAGTGTGAGGCCTTTCTCCTGAGCTGCTAGGAGGAGGAGGAGTCGAAGGAATCTGTAGTTGACAAGTTGATTGTGCGACAACACTGTATATGGCGTTTTGTTGTGATGTAACCTGCACATGCAAGCTCACCGTGAGACCTTGTTCCTGGCCAACCCGACTTCGCTTTATCGCATTCAGTATCATATGAACACCGTCACTATAGTGAGCAAGTTGATTGATAGTACACGAGAAAAGGATGCTTATTCGACTAGCTCCATATGGTGGAGCCATCTCGCAACTCCCACATATCTATCATCCAGTGGCCTTTCGTGCCTCCATCATATTGCTAGTCATCTTTCAGATGAACAATGTTATGATAATAGCTGCTGTGCCTTATTATATAGCCTTAATATCGGTAGAGAGTGTGACGTTCAGGTAGCCCATTTCACTTGCTATAGCCCAAGGTCAAATTAACATAGCAGCCGGATTATCCGCTGAAGTAGTGAGTAGTAGGTAATAGTAGGTAGCAGTCAAAGAGTAACACGCAGTCCCCCAGAGAAGTTAGACAAACACTTATACATCAATTCCTTGTAGTCTGCAATTTTCCTGAACAGTGCGTCCCGGGAAAGTATCAGCGTTGAAAGTGCACACCGGAAGGTTGAAGATGCACTTGGCGGTAGCGTCAATCGGCAAGATCTCCGGGGTGAAAAGCTGCACACTGTGTTCGTCGAAGCAATCCGAGGGACCTTGCAAGAATGTTTCCTTGGAGATCCCATACTTTGTTATCATCAAATCGGTGATGTCAAAAGGACTATCGTCGCCTATTCGTAGTGAGAAGGCGTTTGGGCGATCAGTAGCCGAAGTACATAGCCTCCAATGCTGATCTCCATTACTGCAGGTGCCGGCGGGGTTGGTGGACCTGTAGATGTAGGCCTTCTGTGCTTGCAGTAGAAGGGCGATAGAGCGAAGCTTCATACTATCCGCAAAATTTTTCTGCATATCCGTTTCTGTGAAATTTTGAACGACGCCCAAGAAGCTACCGCCAGCCAAATTGGAATTGATACCTGACGTTGGATTGTCAATTTCAGCGTCGAGAGTAGTAAGAAGAGAATTCGCAACGGTAGATTGGTAGTCTTTAACGGCGGCAGCGATGCTCACGCCGATGTCGTTCCATTTAACGAAGAGGTTCGGTTGCTCCGGGGGCTTCATTTGATTAGTCAAGAAATTGACAACCACCCCAGAAACAGTGTTCACTGTGGCCAGAGCACCGGTGAATGGAACAGCGCTTAGCGCAGAAGTGACCAGAGAAACCATGTCTTTGAGAGGGGTAACGTCGTCTATGGGTTCGGGCCAGAAGTCGGAGACAACGGCAGGTATCTCTAAGGACATGATAGAGGCGGCGAAGGAGATGGCAGTGTTGAGCGAGTTCATATAGCTGTTATACTTCTGAACTGCAACCAGAACATACCTGCATTGCTTAGTTATCTGGACATCCAAAAGTACAGTCATATCATAGTGGGATCGTTGATATAGATCATGAATAAGCTCACCATGCGGGAAGAGGAACTGGAAGACAAGGTTGGTCGGCGTTGCAAAACTGGTCAAGTCCACTGAGAGAACGATTGTCAGTCAACTTTCCTATTGTCTAGCATCCCGGTAAATGTATCGTGTACTCACCAAAAGAAATTCGGGGCTCCTAGTGAGGAAGCGAATCCCTGGACATTGTTCGTGGTGAGATTCGCAGCGGCAGCCTTGAGAAAACCATCGAAATCCAGATCTTTCCAGGTCGCCGCGTTCAGATCTTCAGAAGGGCAGGAGGTACTACCTCCTTGAGGGAAAGCGATCGGATTTGCCTTGGTGAGCCGAAGCGCTGAAAGCAAGGCAAGGAAGTGTGGTTTGCAATACATAACAGCGGATCCCGTTCTTGGAAAAGAAAGTCAAAACGAAAGTAGAAACTGTCTGGAACAATGAATGTAACAGTTGGGTGTTCAGTAAAAGAAAGGATAAAAGGAGAAATTTAAATTGCAAGAAAATCTTACTTACTATACACCAATTACACCACGACCAGTGAGCCTACACCTAGGGCATAACGATATGAAGAGATGTTTGAGGCATGCAAGGTTCCAGGTTAACCGATGTATTCTAAGAGTGTGATCCCTACCTTCTGAGCGTTCAATGCCAAGTGCGAATCCAGATGAAGAAGGCTGAATCAGTGCATAGCAAGGAGATTTTGTTCATGACCTCATAAGAAATATGAAACAGTCTCTTCAACAATGCGGTTCGCTATTGAGCTATTGATACCCACCGATCCGACTGAGACCTATGGAAACCAGGTCGGATGATTTGCATCGGCAATTGTCACTAGCTCAGTACACTGTGAGTACGTGCAGCAGCCCCAGCAGCCTTATACCAATATCCCCTCAACACATAAGATGATACACTTTCCGACGCTATCCCACTTTGAGCGGTTCGCTTAGGTACCACAGACGGGGGGCAGCGTGCCAAAATGGGTATTGTTTTATATATTAAGGTGGTGTCGGTATTACATACTAAGTCAACAAACATCCCTTCTCCCTCATCAAAGTCTGGGGTAAATGAACAGAATCGTGATAAAATAAGCCGAATTGGCACGTTTCTGGCTCAGTGATCTGGTAGGCAGCAGGGTGGGATGCAGCGGCAACAGCTTCTCACTCAATGCACCCAGTCTCTTGGATTATGCGACCAAGGATTGGCCTGCTTGATTTCTAACACGGCACTGTCTTTTCCGTGTAATAACACTCTTGTCTTATGTTTCTATATCCCGAAAATAATCAATTATAGATTCTAGTCTTTGCCGCTCCATTGAGCTTGCAGCACTAACTTAGCTCTTCGGATCCAGCTTTACGTTAATTCCGTTAGCCCACCCGATTTGTATGGTAAATTGATCGCAAAAACGCTCAAAAAATCATATGTTTCTTGTATTTACTGGGCAAGAAGCATAGAGCCAGTGCATAAGACGTGTTACTAGCGCTTGTTAATTGGATATTGAGGCCTCTGCAGAGGCAGGTATTGACTACTGGGTTGCATCTTTGAGGTACCGTCTCGTCTCCCTCACCGCCCTGCGTACAGCCCTTTTCCCAGCTATTTCAGTTTTTTGACATAAGGCCTCTCGCGTGTCTCTAGCTGTAACTTCGCCTCTTTTCCGAATCGTCAGTCGCGAGTTGCCTGGCACTGAAGTCCCTCACATACAGCAGCTGTAGTCTTCGCAAGCTTATGAATAGCGAGATGATGTTTCCAACTTGGTATAACTCCTTAACAAGTCTTATATAGCTCTTGCGTTTTGCGAGCGTACGAAACAAAGGATCGAGGTATTGTAGGTGTAGACGTCTTAGAGGCTTGGAAGAGATGCTCATCTTCTTAGATGTTAATGCCCTCTATAGGTGCGCGATCTAATAGAAATATCCTAGAGCTTTATTTATAGCATGTTTTTGAATCTCATATATGGCATATAATTTTATTTGGGTACCGCATATATATTGTGGCACGATACGTGATTGAGCTCATCAGATCAAGTGGCGTCCTGCATTCAAGTAGATTGAAGAAGGCAGCTATCTACTTACTAAAGGAGATCGTAATATGTATCTATCTGCATTTTGATTACATGATACTACGCCATAGTAGTTGCGTCATTACGACCATATAAATGTACAATAGTAATTCCGATACGCTCTTCAATCTGCGCAGGATTTCCCGAGCATCACAATACGTTGTAGACAAAAAATGAGTCAAAAAAGTGTAGCGCAACAAAATCAACGATGAGTTGAGTATCAAAGGAATCGTGACTCCATCGCCGCAGAGGATTACATGCAAGGGTCCTTATTAGGAGGCTTATTCACATCGTAGATGTGGAGATGATTGTTTAAATTTCCGGCCCTAGGCGAGCGGCAAAGCACGCGATTCTCGGTCTGCCCGGGTCGTACTAGCAGGTCCATGGATTGAGATTCTTTTCACTAGCCAAATTGAGAGTGACGCACTGATAATTATTGATTCTAGCTCTAAATGACTAACTATTTTCGCTCGACAGGTTCTTTGTTTCTTGACGGAACGTTCCCTTAGTTGTGTTTGGAACACTCAACTGTTTATCCCCACTAGTCATGATACAGAGCTACAGAAGCACTAACGCAGCTTGTGGCTAACCTACACCTACATAGGCGTTTGCCCCTGAGCCGCGTGTACGCCACCCCGCAACCTTGCTCGCCCTAGAACCAGGGACCGACAGCTCATTTGTCTGCATTCAGCCATTAACTTCCCTTTCAAGCTAGCGAATTTGTTTGACATCGCGTATGCGTAGAATCTTGATCGCATAAGTAGTGCCTACCGGCATGTATGTCATGAACATGTGGGTATTACGCCGTAACCCAATGCTCCCGTTTCTGGATCAGATGCGGGTCTAGATCTGTCTAGAACAGAGCTAAGGCCTCAACTGCAGTTCACGGTCATTTCTTGCTTCTACCGAGGCGTTTACTAGCTTGTCTTAGCTACTTACATGAGTAGTTCAAGTAGGACTGCATGTCGCTGATACAAAAGAGCAGGTGTTACCACCTGGTCTGCTTCGGACTAATCCATAGGCTCCTCAAATTCCAACTTTTGTCTTTCGTTACGCATACTCATCATGAGACATAATTCATTCGCCCCACTCCTCTTGCTGGCTCCTGCGACCATCATCGCAGCGACTTTGCGTCAGAGAGAGCTCTCTCCTGCTACTCAATTAAGCGATAGCTGGGCATACTCTGGTTGTTATGTCGATTCCATCGCAGTACGAGCACTTAACTCTGCATCCCAGGGAGATGGGACTAGTATGAGCGCTCAAACCTGCACTGCCTTTTGTGGTGCACGTGGTTACCCTGTAGCTGGCTTAGAGTACGGCTCAGAATGCGTAAGTATCCAAAAATTCATTGATAACGTGAAGCTATCAAGCTTACCAAATGTATAGTGGTGTGGTACGGCTCTCCCGTCGCAGGTTGCAACCGATCCTGCTACATGCAACATGCCTTGTTCAGGTGACTCCCCCCAAGTATGTGGCGGTCCAGATAGACTTACTGTATACTCGCGACCTGCATTTTCACGAACCAAGCCAAGCCCAACTGGCTGGCAGTCTCTCGGGTGCTACACCGATAATGTTAGTGCTCGTACCCTTTCAGATCCGCGTGCAGCTGGCGACCAAATGTCGGTCGAGCTTTGTGCTTCTGCTTGTGCTGGGTCAAAATATTTCGGTGTGGAGTATGCTGGTGAGTATTTGTGATCGTTTGGCGTAACTGGAATTAACAACTTGTAGGCGAGTGCTTCTGTGGCGACAATATCCTGAATGGAGGCACGAGTGCATCGGACGGATGCAACATGCCTTGCAGAGGGGACACAAGCGAATTTTGCGGAGGCTCTAACCGTTTGAACTTGTATCAAGCTGTTCAATCCCAGCCAGAGCCTGTTTGCGCACCCACGATTCAGACCGGTGGACAAATCTTCAACGGTGGCTTCGAACTCGGCTCAACCTGGACACGCAACCCGTCGACCACTGGGATCTCAAAGGAAGTCTCTGGCCTAGCATATGAAGGTTGCTACTCAGAACTCATATCGCCTATAAACCCTGCTAGCGCGTTGCGGTCGGTTGCTATTGTATCCAACGCGGGCGTTACCCCAGGCAGCGTGCACACCTTTTCCTTCTACCTTGGCCGTCGCAGTAGCTCAGCCGGCTATGGTGCTTTAGTAAATATGAAATTGACTACGCCAGCTGGTGTGGTGTATTGGGGATTGACATTCCAGGCATGTGCGGGCGCTCAATGCAACCTTGTGGGTACAGGAGGCACGGTTTGGAAGAAATATCAGACCACAATCTACTTCAACTATGCTCAGAGCCTACCGCTTACCATTACCACGAGCTGGAGTGGTGCGACTAAGCTTGATGGTACTGATGATGTGTTCATTGATGGTATCACTATCACCTAATTTGTACATTCTACTACCTAGGTAGTTAGAGATAGAAGTAGGTGTTTTAGATATCTCTACTATTTTACCTATACTCTACTAGGCATCTTACACTTTCCACTTATAATTTATACTTTTTGATCATAATTAAGACCAGCGTCTTATTCATATGGATTGAAAATATGGTAGGATGCCTGCAATGTGGCTTACAAAAGGTGAGCAGCCACCAACCAAGGTACAATATTCAAAGCTTCACACGAAACGACTTCAGTTAAGTCCTTAATTCTTACACATGCGCGTTAATCAGAATCTTCGACACTGTTATACATGTATAGGTGAAATGTGCTTGTCTTTATATAGCTAACTACTACACTTCGAGATGGGCGGATGGCAGCACGCGTTGATTTCACCGGCAAATCGACTATACCACAAGCAGTGGCCACGGAATACAACACAAAGAGTCGGCTTACCGCGAGCCCCTTTTCCCCAAGTGCGAAGAGACGAACACTAGGACTTTGTGCTCTATGACATTGACCCTGCAAGTATCGAGCACGACATATCAGCATTTTTGAAAAACAAACTTAAATTCACTAGGAATAAGCCAGCCTAGCGTACTGTAATGGTGGCGAGTAAGTAAAGCTGTGAGATGTTAACTCAAAGACAACTCTACACAGAGTCAACAAATATTTAGGGTTAATTAATGCTCTATCCTTCTCGCCAGATAGTAAGACACTAGCGTAGGAATCTAATAAGAAGATAGTGAAGCTGAGGAACATATGTTTGAATATGATGTTGTAGACACTCGAGGGCCAGCTGAACTTACTATTAAACGTACTTTGGCATCAATCAACTTCCCTGTGTTTACTGAGCGCCGAGGGCGATTAAATTTTTTGAATTAAGGAAAAGATGCTTTGGATTCCATCTGAACGTCGAACGGGGGCATTCGTTTTCCATGACAATCTTGCTGATTTTGCGCATCCGTTTGGTCGCATCTTAATCTTGAGATGTGTAGTCTGAGATAGATTCACCCACGCGAACATGTCTACTCTGTAATCGTCTAGACTCCACTGACCATGATGAAGACGTTCGCAGAGTTATGCATGAAGTCAAAAATCACGTCAAGGCATCGTAAATCGAGGAATATTGAAATTGACAGAAGCGAGGACGGATTGATGTTTTCTTGTTCTCTAAAAGATTGAGGACGATACTAGCCGCGGCACATTCATTTCCAAACACCTCTGACACCGCTCCAAGTTTCCCGGGCCCATTGCTTTGACTTGGTCCTGGCATGCCTGAACCGTGTTGTTTTTGATAGCCTGTTGGGTATAACCTGGTCACCTCCGAAATGTATCGTCTGTTTCTGTGTAGTAGGGGGTTCTTGAGGCTCTTGTGTGGCCTGTGGTTCAGCAATAGAGTATGATGATGGGGTCACCGATACTTCCTGAACCTCCGGCTGTAGCAACTTACCTTCTACGGCTGGCTCCGTAGCGGTGGTCATGGGCTCCATGAAGATCTCATCACAGTCACTGTGATCCTCGTCCTGCTCATAGTCTCCGGGTTGTGTTTGCTCGGATCGGGGTGATATGGCCCCGTTCTTGTCACTTCTTTCGATCGATAAAATCTCTTCTCGACTGTCAAGTGTTAAATGCGAGGAGTACCTGCGCAATGCGTTGTTCGTATCCGACAACGGAGATAAATTTGGACTGGGAGATAATTGAGGCCAGTCCTGTGGACTTTGCTCAATAAGTGATATTTTCAATGTTGCAACAAGGTGCTGGAGATCGACGCGTATAAGATCAATCCTCGATCGTTCTGATGGATTGCAGCGGAGCATTCTTTCCTCAATCACGCCAGCCATTCCCTTCGTAAAATTAGTCCCTTCTTTTAGTTCAGACAATCGCTACATCATTGTCAGTATGATAGAAGGATTTGGTCTTGAATAGGGATCATACGTCTTGTACGCACTCTTTCAAACATGCATCCTCAATGGTGCTACCATCGCCTTTCATGCAAAAGAATTGATCTTTTTTCACATCATCGAATAGTGGCTCATCTTGATCCTCCCGCTCGAAACCAAAATCTACCACGTGTTGTGACCCTTGCAAGTACCAAACGCAGAACTCGAGGAATACGCAACCCAGAGAGAAGATATCGTATTTCTGGGATATCGATTCCCTGAAGTCTACCTCAGGTGCCCGGTAGCCCCACGTTATACCATCAATTAGTGCTCGAGGAACTAGTGATTTTGAGAATTCAGTGTGGTATCGCGCAAGCCCCAGGTCAGAGATTACTAGGTGTCTCCGAAGAGTCCCATGTTCCTCGAACCACAATATGTTCTCGGGCTTGATATCTCCATGCCTTCCCCATTCGGATTTGTCTTGATTCTGGGATTCGATGGAGTTTGACCTCTTCCTTTTCCTCCTTATCTCATGCCACGAACTAAGTCCGTGAATCCGACTGACTGCTCTCGCCAGGCCAAGGCATTGCTGAGCTGCCCATAACTCATTTGAAGGGGTCCGCTCAATGAATGTGTTCTTGTCCCAGAATTGTTGAAGATTCCCATCTGCCCATTCAAAGAGCAGGTAGAATGTATTACCATGTTGGAAAGTAAGCAGAAGTTTGATCAAATGATTTTCTGTTTGTGCGTGTGCGCACGTCTTTTCTAGCGCGTGGAGCTCTTTCCTATATGCACGCTGCTCCGACGCATCTATCTCTTTCAGCGCAAACTTTGGATTTTCTGTAGACTTATATGGTCAGCTACTGATTGCTGGTAGGACTGGTGATATCATACTCCAGATTTGGAGAAGTTGTGATGACTAGGGTGAATCTCAACTTGGTGAACTAGTCCCGTGCCACCAGTTGACTTGGTCTCTATAGAGAGCCAGGGAAGCCTTGTTCCGCGGTCAAGCTCATAAGAGCACACTCCATTCTCGTGAATATCGAAAAAAGGAACAAAGAAGACCCTCTGGTTCTCATAAAATAGCAGACGCTCGTTTCGGCTCCATCCATCAAGTATCCTGGACTTGGGATTCGGAGTCGACTCTCTTGATTCCCTAAACGGTAGGTCGTTGTCCCATATCTCTAAATCTATGAACTCCTCAAAATGACTGAGCTGCTCAATCGCTACAAGGATGCCCAAAATCCGCGTTCGAGTCTCCTTTGGGTTTTCGCTGATGATGTCCTGGAATTTTTCCAACAACTCGTCTTCCGAGGCAGAGTGATACCTCTCTTGCAAAAGCAGCATTATGGATTCAGGGTTGAATATCTTTCTAAACATATCGAGAGGAAGATATTCGCCCGCATCTGGTTCGCTGTCTTTCAAACTCTTTTCAAACTGTTCTCTAAGGATCGATTCAAACCGTGCGGTCTTCGGTGAATTTGAGGTATTGAAAAAGGGTTTACGCTCTTTGAGAAGCCGTTTAAGGGCGCGGCGACCATCTTCCTTTATCGATTCGAAGTCGAATGTCGCGGCAGCTGCACTGAAACCAAGGTCTTCAACTTTACGCACAGTAGATGCGTCACTGCTCGGGCTTTTCCTAAAGTCATTCTCATTGATGGGCCGTAGATAACCATTGTCTTCTTTGATGGTTATATGAGGCCCACCGGGAAAACTTTCAACATCGTAGTTTAATCGCGTTGAGATCAGGCCAGGGTTGTAACGCTGCGCACGTGATCGTAAAGGTCTAGGTGAGTTTTCTGGAGTAGGCAAAAATTCCTTTGTATTATTAATCTGATCCATATTCGTCCAAGTATGGTTCACCTAAAGTGACGCTCCCAATCGATCTGTCTTTGGGCGCTCAGCACACCGGAAAAGTCGAGAGCGAGGCGACAGCACTTCGCTGTAGTTCTTTTGTTCAGAAGTAACAGTAGGGAGAAATGATTACAATGAACAATAGGTATTCTGGGATTATGAGAGCAACGTAACCGAGCGATCATTCGTGAGACGAAACTGTTGGGGCCTGAGGAACGTCTTAAGGCCCGTGAACCTATCGTTCGTGGAATTAGAGCCAATAGAGAGCAGTTAAGCTTTCTGATCTCTAGCTGCATGTGCGCAGAACGGTAGGTCTGTGGGCAAGCATATTATCCTGCCTTAGACAAGGTAATCATGGCGCCAGATTACTATCAGGTGGTGGTGGCGCAAGCAAGCGCCTGAGCCCCATTTGGCGCGAGCCTCGAGTCCCGAGACCGCACTGCCTTCCCTATTGTTTCAGTCGGATCGCCAGTTCAAAAGACTCAAGTGGCGCATGGAGGATCCGTGGCTGTGAGCAATGTCTTCGAAGCCTGGAACGATTGTTGCGTGGCGTCCACATGGTGTACTCCAATAAAAGTGGCTTAGGGTTTGTGGGGGCGGTGTCAGAGATCATCTACCCTCCTGCCTTGATTTGCCGCAGGCTGAGGCATCGGGGTTGACAGGCTATTCAGGGCAAAGATCTCGTGTGAGGTTATCTTCTTTGTTATGCACTCGAGTCTGAGCCTTCCGTAAGTAGAGCGACGGGGCACGATAAGCCGCCTCAATATTGTGGCTCCGAGCTGACCGGATTTATGACAACATCCAAGGAATTCACTCCTTACTGACCCTGAAAAAGGAGGCCAAAATGGAGTCATTCTACCACGAAATCATTTGGTAGAGCGATAAAGAGTCATTCATTTTCTGTATTCTCAAAGCGCTTGGTCCTACTAGCACTAAATAGGACAATGGTATGGTAGCGAGATTAAGGCTAGTCGATTGGTAGGCAGTTGCTGCGCCCCAATATAGCGGCGCCTGAACGTGGCACACCTCCATTGCCGGTGTCAGCTGGCGCAAAGGGACTCAGCCCAATTGGATGTGACCAACTAGACCCCGCGCATTCCTTCTAGTTGTTATAAGGAAACGTCAACCGAAGTGTGCGGGTGCCATGTGGCACTTTTCAGCACAAGACGTTTGGTGCGATTTAGACCTAAGCAATTTCTTTGGTAAAAGGCCTCCATCTCGCCGTCATTGATCTTGTGTTTTCACAGTCCTGAATACAATGAGCAACGTTTCTTTGACCTTCGTGAGAGAGGAGCCCAACCTTTCTGTCTGGACAGAACATAGCGATCGCGTTCACCCCAAAGATCTTTCGAGACATCTCTCGGATACAGTCGGTAAAGAACGGTTCAGAATATCATTGCGAAAGAATATATACATCGTTTATATCGATGGGAGATATCGAAGGAACGATGACGTGAGTCGGGTGATTCGATCGGTGGAGGTTGCTGCTAATGGAAAGAAGCAGAATCGCGACTCAGGGTCTGATAATGAAGAAGACTCGAGGGAATTCACAATAGGGCCCAAAACATACCAGAAAAGGCTTGAAGACATCAAGATGGCAGAGAAGGTATTAAGTAGTGAAAGAACACCAAAATGGTAATCGATGGGGATTTTTCAGGGGGGATGCTAATCGGATAGCTTTAGCCATTATAGAGTAGATTTAAATGGCGGTTCTGGAAATGAAAAAGTCATGGACCCGGAAGGTATATTTCACAGTCTATATCTGGCATCAAGCGGTTGGATTTCATTTGATCGAAAGCGCGCAACTTGGTACTTATGAGCAGGATCTCAAACTTTAGCCTAGGGGTTTGGAATTCTATGTATAGTTAAGGAGTGAATGAACTGTCTATCAAACCATTCAATTTGTCACAAACTTGAGTACATGGAGAATCAGCAGATAGTTACCCAAGACCCTTCCTTTCCTATCACTGCTGGCTCGAGCGATGCAACGCCTGCTCTTTCGTAAACGGGATCTTTCGACGCGTTGCGGCTTTGGTGAATAACTAGGACGTGACACTTCAAGTTAAATTTGCCGTCTCCAATCTTGTCCCTCCCAATGACTACGCATCTCAGCTCTTCAACGGCGAACTCTTCGTTGTCGTCGAACGCAATTTTAACCAACATATTGTACTTGGACAAGCTTACTTTCCTTGCGAAGCCCAAAAATGAAGCGGACTCAATACCCCCAACCACCGAAAAAGGATTCTTGAAATCATCCACTGCCCAATTGACTTCTCTAAATCTCAATTCAGTCGTGGCGTCCATGTATTGGATGCCACCCTCTTTCGAGAGAGACGACCACGACGGTACACGTCGGCTGGGTGGCTGGTCAATGCGCCTCATACGTGTTGGATAGCGACGTTTCCAGAGTAGCCCTCGGGCGAAGTATTCTTCAAAAAGGCCATAGGCAGCTCTGGTCCCGAAAGTTCGGGCGAGTCTTTCTTGCAAACCTAAAATGGCAACTGACCGGTCTGCAGGCTTGGTAAATGCCAAACCCGAGTATCGTTCGTAGAGATCCTGGATGAGCAGTTGCCTGCCGTCCCGGTAATGAGCGACAGCAGCGTTGGGAAAGTTTGCATCGCCCAGAAGAGCAACTTTAGAACTATGGCAGTGTCAGCTCGTAAGAAGAGGACTGTTCGGCTGGGCTAAAACAAACTTACTTCTCAATGCGAGCGAGCGTCTCGCAACGAATCCCAGCTCCACATTCCCAATAGACCTGCGTCGAAGTAAAGAATATGGTCCTGCGAGACAATGCCCTCTCCTGCAGTACCCAGCCTCGGCTGTTGAGCGCGCTGAGTTCTACATCGGCGTGAAAGTCATCAATGTCGATACAAGCGTAAGTGGCTTGGGTACTTGTTGCAGGCAGCTTGACAACAGTCCGCGGTGTCCGCTTATGCAAAAAGCCATCTAGCGAAGATTTCGCTGAACTCGCGCCAATCGTGCAGTATGCCATGCTGAACACGAGCTCCATCTTAGCTGACTCACGCTGCCAGTCATCATCGTCATCTTGTATGATGCATAATGAGTCAATCCAAATATAGTCAATTCCCAAACCACAAGCCACGATCACAGCGTCCCGGAAGGTAGGTGGCAAAGCCTCGAAATCGATGCCCGTCTTTAGCTGTTCAATGTTACGCTTGTATGTGCAGAATTTCTCGTTCTCTTCCAAAGGTCCCCAACAATGACTGAGCGCGATATATTGGCAAGAGTGGATGTTTGCTGTCTCTAGAAGACGGATCCGCTGACCTATCTCAATTAGCCGTGTTGGCTTACTCTGTGCATCTTTCTCTTCGCGATAGCACATGTCATGGTCCGAGTCGCACACCAGGATCCATTCCTTAAGGAGAGCGAAAAATTCGGGAGAGGTTTGGTCGAATAGGATTGGCAAGCCAAACTGTGCGCCATGCGGGATCTCCAGTTCTGAATCTTTACGGTCGTCAGTTCCTTTTCATCCCAAAGATTTGGAGTGTAACTTCACCTGGCTCACAATAAAATGACAAAAGATTGGAGCCATCTTTGAGTCCAACATGAGCAGCGTCCTGGCGTAGCTCAACAGTTATGGGTACCTTGATGCCTTTATATTCTAATGCATCTTGCAGAAGGCTGCATAGATTGCAATTTCGAGCTCTTCCTTGCAGAACTGCAACATCGCAAAATTTGTCAAATATGGGCTGTGAGTTGCTCGAATTACACGAATCACACAACCTCGTGGTAATCTCAAGTGGTATATGTCTGACCAGATCCCACCCAATCTTTTCAAAAAAGTTGGTAGCAAAGTCGTTGTCTTGAACTGAGGCCCAACCGTCGTTGAGCTTGCTTGATTGCTGCATCATTCAATCACCACAATGACCTTCATTGGTATACAAGGCGCACCTACAAACTGCAGAATCATGATCAGCAGGGTCATGCCCTAGAAAGCCGTACACTTACTAACTATTGAAACATCGCATTACTGCGTTAGTGAGCTTGCATGGAATCTGGGGAGTGGCCACCTACATTCTGTGCGCAAAGAGAATACTCTGTTAGCTGATATTCTTGCTTGAATGTGAAGGGCTTACATACTGTTGGTCTGGTCAGCTTCAAACATCGATCGGTATGGCATGTTCAATGAACCTAACATACTTCTCGATGGTCCGACATCGATGTTTGTTTGCTCAAAGTGTTTAGATTCTCATGAAATGTGGGTGCCTGAACTATCAGCCGTGGAATATCATCAGTCAGCTCTTCCGTAGGCTGCTCAGCGGACAATTTCTCAACCGGGGTGGTGGTTGGTTTCAGTTCAGAAATCAAATTCAGATGGTCTTTTTGTTTCGATGGCGCAAGCTTTCCTCCGATTTTGACAACATCTTTGACTTGGGCAAAAAGTGGATACGTCAATTTTGGTATCTCGAGATACCCTTCTCGGTCCCGACTCCGCTCATAGATATCTCGTAAGGTTGGATGAACCTCGCTGGCTTTATGACGGTAGCCTGATATACTCGCTTTCGCGTAGTTCACAGACACGGGAATTACGAGTAGCTTTTCCTGTATAAGCTTGAGTATATCTTTGTAGGCTGAGCCAGCTTCCAACTGTCCGTCCAGCCATGTCATAACCAAAAAAACATACTCGTGGACTTTGTAAGGTTTACCATCATCTTGCTGTCTCTGCCAAAAATATTCGGAGGTACCCTTTCTGAACTTCTCGAGAGCGCCATAGCCACAGACAAGCCACACGAGAAGCTCGAGTAGAATACAGCCAAAACTCCAGACATCATATTGACGGGAGCGAGGTTGCCCTTTGCCACGCTCTCCGTCGACCTCGGGAGGTTTATAACGTCTAGTACCTGACGGAGTATTCGTGTGCTTACCTACGCGGACATCCGTGTGCTCTCCTTTTTCGTAAAAGGTAGTGAGGCCAAGATCCGCTATCTGTAGGCATCCTTTGTCATATCCACGCTTGAATAGGAGCATGTTCTCCGGTTTCAAGTCTCCGTGTCGCACATTTCTGCCATGAAGTACTTGCAGAGCTGAGCAAATCCCAACGAACTGTCCAAGCAGCCACAGTACACTTTCTCGCCGATGAGCCTCCGCTTCGTTCTTTTCCCAATAATCGCCAAGATTACCGCCGTCAGCCCAGCTAAATATGAAACAACGATCTGGCTTGCGCTCGTATACGGCAATAGGCTTGATTAGATGGCGTGATTCGAGTTCCCGTGCTCGATTCAAATTTTCCCTCTCTTTGTTGACCAGCCGCTCCCATTGTACTTCAGGCACCTGTTCACTTCTCTTCAACCTCTTAATTGCGATCTCGTACGCAGGAATCTCCACTTCATGGTCCGATTTCTTCGATTTCCATGAGATTCTTGGAAGTTCCGGGTGGTCTACAATGTGGCTTGCGTGAATCACCGCCCGCGACACTTCGCCAAAGAAACCATTAGCCTCTGGTCCTGAGGCCTCTTCCAGGAACGGTAATCGTTGGGACGGATCCAGTTCAAAGCGGAACTTTTCCCTGGCTCCAAAAACAGGTATAGTCAAGCTCCACTGATGGTCGAGAAAGAGCTTCCGTTGGTTTCGTTTAGATTTTTGAAGCCAAGTGTATCGTCGACCTATTGAAGGTCCTTGCAGGCTCGCGCCAACTCCATCCTTTCCGAAATCAATGGGGAGTGAGCAGTCGTCAAGACCTTGATCTTTACAGCATCTTAATTGGTGCTCAAGGTCTCCACTTTCCATCAGAAAAATTATAAGAAATAGCCGTGGGGCTTTGTTTATAACAAAGTCCACAATATCGTGTCTGCTCTTGGAGCTATCGAAATTTCCTAGATCAAGAACTGACTGCACCCTCGATGGTGTGACCAAGTCGTCCAACTTGTGCTTAGGCATGAAATCCAAGTTGTATTCGTTTTTACAGAATGAGTCTGTTACCTCATTCATAAAATCCTCAATACGTTCATCCATGGTGAGTCTGATGGTACATGTTAGAGCTTGAAATCATCGAATTACGTGCAACGTTTCATACATGATGGCAAGGTGGTCGTGTGTTCAACCAGGCTGAGGCAGAAATCTCTAGGTGCGCTAGGACTTCAGGCTACCCCGATCACAATCCTTATTTAAGACACATATTTCAACAAGGCTGAATGCTGTGGACGGCACATGCGTGGGCGAACCCTCATCTCTATGCATGGCGTTGTGTCGATTGGTGGCAGCTGCCGGGCGAAGATACTTCTTTCCGCTAAAATCGGCACTTGAGGAGGACTGTGGACGAAAGGTGTGAAAGGTGGCTGTGGCTGCCTTACAGATAAGCGTAAGCGACGAGGCTAGTCAATAAGGCTACCCAACGACGTAGGGCCTCTAAATGAAGCATATGCATGAATGATGTAATTGCCGCAGAAGGAGCCTCAGCTGAACACTTGAGGGAGCTTCACCGGTTTAGCCTAGAGACGAGGCTGAGCTTCATGTGCTGAGTTCGACTGGCGGATCGAGATCTGAGTGGTCCTATGTCGAAAAAGGAAAAATAGCGGGCTCAGTACTGGATGGAATTGCTTCCACAAACAATTGCTGACAAACCTACAAGTGGTGTCAGGTCCCAAGCGGCTATCACTATCGCCAAACTAAAAACGGCATGGCAAACAATAGCAGGCTGAACTTCGAAGCATTCGCGAAAGCAGAACACAGCCAGAACAAATGCGTCAAGGAACGCTCAATGTGGACTTGCCACCGGCGCCTCGATTGCAATCAACACGACCAAAACAGCAGGATACACTGCCATCACCGTGAGCAGATTTGTGGGGTCCGTTTTCGCAAAGAGGGCAGCACCCAAAGCCTTTGTAGTCGCATGTCCAACAATCAACATAAGCATAGGAACCACGATGATCAGCTCACCAGTGAGGGCGAATGCGAAGCAATTCCAAGCCATGTGAAATCCTGCTCGTCTTTCCTGCCTTGCGAACGATATTGCGCAATCGGTACCTAGACTTCGTACAAGAGCTCTGCTGGGTTCCATGAGCTTTGAGTCGAAAGAATCAATGAAATCCGAGTCGTGAAAGACGCTGTGGTTGCTGGAAGTAGCTTCAAAACCGAAGTCGTAAATAAGGACTTCTTTTAAGTTTCGTTCTGGCTCCATTGTCGATTTGGGATACGGCGATGTCTTGAAAGAATTTTGTGTCCAATCGATTGGCTTGTATGGGTCCGAGATTACGAAGTATGTCGGCTGTGGGACATGTTAACGGGAAGTATGACGACATTGAATATCGTCTCACTGCACTGGTGTAGAATTTATTGTATCCCTTTTACCGGAAATCTGTAACGCTTCCTTGTTCGACTCTGTGGATTTTCGCGACGAGCTGTCGCCGAAGATCATGGAGCGTGATGCTATACCAAGGGCGAAAGTCAACAACAGTTACCCAACCATTACCCAATGCATTGTCAAGCCGCGTAGAAAAACTAAATATGTGCACGTGATAGAGAGTTTATGTGATTGTGTTTTATACATTAGTGCGGCTATCGTCCTTCTTATCTGTACCTGCCAAATAATTGAGGTGTTAGCCTTGTACGTGCAATATCCTTGTTGTAGGGCTAAGATGTTGAGTCTCTAAGAAGGTAATTCCTTCAGCAAGATTTTCTACTTTAAGGATATCCATAAGGCAGCGTAAGGAATTTCAGATCTGTTACTTGGATCTAATATTAGAAAATCAAAAAGAATAAACCATCTGCTGAGGTTAGTGGTAGATGTGTACATAAGTGCATTAATAGCACCTAAGTTGTCGCTAAGCTAGAAAAGAAAAAAAGATATTAGAAAGCCCTCTAGTGGGAAATTAAACCCCGGTCTCCGGCAATTTGTCAGTTGCATAACACGAGGAAATACTGACTGCTATGTTAGTATGCTGTCTACCATAACAGCTGTCAAACCTTTTGGTCTGGGTCACAGATAACCTTTGGTGCCTCTACTTTAAGTTTCTGCTTTGGGTATATAGTCTTGCCATAGTAGCTATCACTTCATACCATATATATTATATTCTCTAGTATGCTAGTGGCGCTTTGAATTACCATCGCAACGCTTATTTATGGACATTAATTTGCCCATGCTATTGTATGCTCACTTCCCAAGGTTATATAGCCTGTGAGTTGATTAGACGATCGTGTGATACGCCGCGGTGGTGCTCAAGGACGAGAAGGTACATGAGTCCTCGAGCTGCAGGGATGGGCGTTATTAGTGTGTTGGGGCGCTCGGCACGGCTGGGCTTCAAGACGGCACAGAGTGGCTGTGTCTGACCGGTTCGCCAACGCGAGGAATACGAGCGGGGCATGGCTACAATACAGCTCCCACAAAACCCGCATATACATGCAATGAACCATTTCCCTCAACCCTCATAAAAATCATGACGGAAGCCGCAGGCCTGGCTCTGGGCGTCGTTGCCCTGTGGAAGACATGCGTAGAGGTGTTCGAGGTTGTCGATTCTGGGCGCAGCTATGGTATAGACTATGAGCTTCTCCGTGTAAAGCTTGAGGTGGAGCGAATCCGTCTGGTGACATGGGGCGATATGATCGGCTTGGATAGAGAGAATTCGACAACGCAACCTGATACGCGACTCCAGCAGAGCAATGTGAACGAGACAGTGATGCGACTCCTTGGTTGTATCCAGCACATCTTCGATAACTCAGAGCGGCTGCAGAGTAAATACGGGCTCCGGCCGTCGGAAGGCCAGACCCAAAATGCTAGTATCGATGTCGGGGTTGGGCCTGGGATCTTGGGTGCGGTATTCAGGAGGCCGTATGAGAATCTACGAAGGGCTGCGAGGGAAAGACAAAAAGATACGGCGTTGAGGAAGAAGGCATTGTGGGCTATTCACGATAGACGCAAGTTTCAGACTATGATCATGGAGATCAAGGGGTTCAACGATAATTTGGAGAGCTTGTTTCCCGGATCACGGCTTCAGGTTGCGGAGGCGTTAAGGATAGATGTGGAGAATAGCGATGCGGTTGAGGAACTTCAGCTATTGCAGGAAGCAACGTCTGAAGACCATGAAGTGTTATCTGACATTGCATCAGCCAGGCTAGAGGCTTTGGGCGCCAGCACTGTAAGATCAGAGTTACTCACTGACAGGAGCACTGTGATAGAAGGACTAAGAGAAGCAAATGAAGACAACGCGGAGGACCTTGATCGAGTTGGGGGTATCGAAAACGAATCTGCAGAAGCTGGTGACGATGCGCAAACGGCTGTCAATCCGGAAATGACTGCGGCGGAGAAGAGACTCAGACAAATTCATTTATACCGCTCGGCAAAACAAAAAGGTGCTCTATATATCAGTATTCATGATCCGCAAAGCTACTCTTCCAAGGTCTCGGCATATGTTTATCATGAGGAGCAGGGAGAGGATCGCTGGTGGTCGCGAAATGAAGACGGTTATATAGAACCGATACATGCATGCTTTGGTAAGTCTCAGAGTACTGCTTGACGCTAAAGTACATTTGGTTAACTAAAAACAGAGCTATATAAGAGAAAGAAATTCCACGCCAAACGGAGGGGAAAAGATTATGATTTGGGCACTGAAGACGACAATCTTCTATTCAGCGTCGAAAGCAACTCGGAATACGAAAACGTCAACCCAGGAACCGTCACAGTCAAAGGATTTGCGCTCGATGCATGGGACTACGAAGACACCAACTACCCTCGCGAGTCCACCGTTATTACCAACGCTTCTGATCCAGGAAGCATTACTGCAAAAAAGCTGCTGCGCCGTATCGACGAACTCCAGAAAGGCGCCGGTAAACTCGGGTGGAATCCAGAAATAGATCTTATGGATATGAGAGAGTTTACTGGAGGCATGGGCATTACGTACTACGATCCCGCGTATGAGTTCCGCTCGAGCAGCCAGTTGTCCAATTTATACAGCATGCTTAATCGGTCCGATATTTTTGTGAATTTCCTCGGCACATCTAGCATCTGTCTCGAATGGAATAACCCAAAGAAGAACGGCGGCGGTATCTGGAATTTTCTCTGGCAAGTCATCCTAGCCAAGGAGCTTGCACGGCGACTAGAGAACAAGACTGAGGACAGTTGGACTTCAGGGTTCACGCCTCGAGTTCTTGCATCCCTCATCGTGAGCGACCTCTGGCTCAAAAATGTAGAAATCGTCCTCGGAGAACCAAGATTCAATTTAGCAGATCTCAAGGGTGTAGAAAACGCAGAAGAGAAAGCCAAAGCCGAAGATTTTAAGAAAAAGGGCAATGATGCTCTAGCCAAAAATCTATATCAGAAAGCCTTCGACTTTTACACAGAAGCGCTGAAGATCGATCTGAAGGATGCTACGTATCGCTGCAATAGATCCGCTGCCTCATACTGTCTGGGGAACTTTGAGGACGCCATGGAAGATGCATACTTCGCCACAAGAATCGACCCGAAGTATGAAAAAGCCTGGTCCAGACTTGGTTCCGCATCTACAAAATGCGGTCTCACGAAACGAGGCATCCAAGCCTTTGAGCATGCCATCGAGCTGGCGGGCAACGATGTCTCTGCCGCCATGCGAACTGGTCTCGCTGACGCAAAAGCCCAACTAGAAGCTGAGCTCAAGAAAATCGGCGACGAGAAAGACCTGAAGAAGCACAAAGAGCTACGAAAAGCGTACGTAGAACAAGACTACGACACGTTGATGAAAGGGGTTGAGATGCACTCGCGCTGCCATGAGCAACAGGTAGAAGGACTGCTGCTGTTTGCCGAGAAGATAAAGTGGCCATGGATCAACGAGGTAAGAAACTACGCAGAAGAAGCATACAGTGACCTACGAGGGGGGCAGAATCTTCCTGCAGACTTGCATGACTGGCTCTTTGGCATGACACTTCCGGGTCAATGGTTTGCGTTCAAGATCATGACCGCGTTGATCCTATGCACGCCATCGATCAAGCAAAAGACCGGTATAGCTCCCTTCTTTGACTGCGGTCTCTCCCTCCCCAGGAAATCATACTGGAGAGTCCGTACAGTACTCGGCCGAGTTCTTGGCTGTCTCCCAGGCATCATCTCACTCTGCGGGTGGATCGGACCTTGCCCACCCGTAGAATTTCTCTCCCCAATCCCCGACGATGCAGACAAACCCCGCCACATCCGACTAAAAGCGCGCAACATCAGTCTCGTAAAGCACATAACTCGTGACCCCAGTGCGCCAATCATAATTGGTAGCACTGGCCGCCGCTACGAGGACATGCAGCCGAAAGAAGACGAAGAAATCGAGCCCTGGATGGCCGACATGCGCAACGCAAGCAACTGGATCGTCCCCGAGCCCCCCGTCAAGCAAGTTGGCACCTGCGAACTAAAAGCTATACAGCTCAAGCGCAATAACACCGGCACAGGCTCCATCAACGACCAAGACAAAGTCATGTACCTTGCCCAACTCGTCTTCAAACGAGACGACAGCCCAGACCTCCAAACGTACAAACTCTTCACCAACCCCGTCTTCGTGACGCCCCCACCTTGTCTTCCCGGTCCAAAGGGCGCCCATGAAATTCATCTAAGGGAGCTGCATAGATATAGTGAGAAGAATATTTGGACGATTGAGCAGCTGAAGGATCATACGGCTGAGGATACTGAGGATATCGACGTCATGGTGATTAATGCTACGGGAAAGGGAGCAGAGTTGTTGGCCAGAGCTTGGTGTTCGGAGCGGGGGAAGAATGCGGTTATACGGAGGGCGGGCGGGCCTTGTTATGTTTGTGCTGTGCAGGCGGCTAGTCAGGATGGTCTGCGGACCGGAGTGTTGATTTGGGTTTCTTGAGGGCCTGATGGGAAGGAGGTGAAGCGCGACTTTGTTCTATTGGAAGTATTATCTGGGTAGCTTTCTGTTCGTTTTTAAGGTCTTGTAGTTCGTGTTTTTCAGTTTATAGCTGGTAGCTAGGACGTAACCGCCACCAGCTCTGGCTGCGCGCTTGTCAATATCACTCCATTGCACGATATGAGGTGGTTAAGCAACAGTATGGCCGCCAAATGAATGGGATTCTGTAAAGCCGTGGGCTGTGGAGCGGGTCATGAGGCAGGCTTAGGTTGGTCGGAAGGGCGTTGTGTTTTGCTGTGTAGAGATAAATGTTCTTAGATGTAGTAGAGGTAAAGATGGTGTGTTTGAGAGCTGAATATGTGTTCCTACAAGCGTATAATAGTCAAGAGTGGATCTGGTGATACGATTTTGTATCGTTGAAGCTGAGCTTATTAGAGATTCATGCCAGATACCATCTACCCCGTACTGGATGCATCGTGATCTTTTTTGTTTTGTCTCGATGAAACCGAACTAAATTAAATGGAGGATAAAAAACACCAACAAGCGACAACACACCACTTATAAACAAGACCCTACGCACAAGTCAAGTCGTACGTTGGAAACGCACTGCATGGTTCGATTCGACTCTAAGCTAGAAACAACCAACACCACACGAGATTCTCACATGAGATCGCTAGCAAGATCGACATTGACTCGAAACAAAAGTGTATTCTCATTAACCAATACGTATATGGCCAGCCATATAGTCTATTCATGACATCCTTTACTGCGTCTTTATTGTTGGCTCAATTGATGTAGTGGGTTCAACTTTGACCGAAACTTGCCCACCTCCTTCGCGAACCAACCTCTCCAGCCAGTCTCTGATCTGACCTCTCATCCGAGAGAGAACTTTCTCGTGCCTCACCATTATTTCGTTGAGTTTGATGTTAGCAACCAGCTGCTGCTGCTCAGCATGTAGCGATACCTTGACACCACCAGCGTCTAGATAACTCTTGCGGACCGTTTCCTTGTTGGTGAAATCCACGAGGTCCTTTTCGTGTGCCTCCAGCTGGTCCGATGTGAAAATTCCCATCTTGTCAGCAATGGACGCAACTTCCTTGATAATCAGGCCCTTGGAGCGCGTCAGGTTAGTGATCCACGCATCACAAATCTTCTTGTGTGCAATCTGTTCCACGGCGCAGTCAGAGCAGCGATTGAAGACCGTATAAAGCAGGCACACTTTTTCGACGATGAGCTCCTTTTCTTCGATGATGACGCGATCGCCAACGTTGTAAGGCTGCTTGGAGAAGACAAATTGGCAGGCTGTGATGAATTCGGTAACGGCACCGCCCAGTGCGAAAGAGAGCCCGGTAATGGTTATCGAGATCGGTGTCAGGTACGATGTCAGGTTCTTGACGAAGAATCCGGCTTTACGGATTAGTATTATGGCTGGGGTATACAAGAGCTTTGGGAGGCTAGAGACGTACCGTATATGATGGCGACAACAAAGAGTAACAAAAAGCATACAACCGCATTTGCACTTCTTGCCGCACGTCTCATTCCGTTCACGCTTTTGTTAATATCACGCATTGCCATAATCAGCTCTTTGAGGAGCTCTGCGACTTCGTCTCTCGTAATCACGCCACTGTCGTCTTTGTCCATCATCTTCATAATTTCCGCCGCCGTGAAACCTTTTTCCATCAACAGCAGCCCGCTATCAATAACCTTGCCAATACCTTCGTCAAGTTTCTTTTTCAGAAATTCCTGTGTGAAACTCATGTCCTCTCCGGGAAGCCGCTGTTCGACAAAAGTCTCTAGAAAAGGCTTCCCGTGACGATCGAACTCTTTGTCACTGCCTTTCCCTAGGATATATCGCTTGCTTTGATTGTGCTCGTTGTTCGGGTCTGGCCGATTGCGTAGGAAGAGAGCCTCGAAGAACTTGACCGTGATTGAGAGCAGACGAGTCACAGAAGTTGATGCCAAAAGTCTTGGCCCCGTGCAGGTGGTGAATTGACTAGCAGGTCTTGCGAAGCAGCCTCATTCTTCTTGGCGTCAATATAGATGCTGCATATCAAGATCATAGCATACTTTTGTCGCATAATTTCGTCGAGGTTTCTTTTCTTGTAGATTCTCTTCGCTTGATGGGTGATGATGCACTCCATCAAAATATCTTCTGCATAGAATATAGCAGCCGCAGGTATAGTGGCGAGGAGAACCTTTCTCAAAACCATAATCCAACGTTCGTCGCAGGTGCTGTCACTGATGCGACACATGACAGAGGAGCTTCCCCATGCTACGAGGGACATCGCGAACAACACCTGTGTCCGCATGGTCTCGTTAAAGAGAGAATCCCATGGCTGAGCGCTCTTATAGAGTTGGCACATCCGGAGCTAGCCTTTGCCAAAATAGAACATGCATAACCAGAGAATCCAAGCTGAAGACCATAAGATTTCGACCCAGATGAGAAAGCCGGTAGTCCGAATGCCACCCATTGCCCTTGTTGGTGCAAAGGCAGCAATTACCGCCCAAGGTATCATGATGATCACGGTACCTATCAACCACCGTGTCGACCAACGCCACTCTCTCGACTCTTCCGTATCACCTGTATCAATCGCTTTCACCACTCCGTTCGTGTCCCCATCCTCGTTCGATTTCGTCAACTCATTGATAGTAACGTCCGCCGTGCCGACTCTGCTCTGCGATTCGAGGACGCTGTGTTGGTAGAAGGGGTCGATCGTTTTATCCATCTCTCCGTTTGTTAAAGCGATTCGCAAACGGCGGTTTTCACAGCGCAAGGGATCGATGGCGTTTGCAGTTTGGCTTGTACGTCCCCCAGCAGTTCGAGGGCTTTTATTATTATTCCATTATAGTCCTGTATCAGCCGTTGGCTATGTAAGACTTTTGGCCAAAGGCCGTTCTATCTAA